AGGGTTGCGATCTGTTGCCGGACACGGAAAAAGACAAAAGACAAAAAAAAAAAAAAAAATTGTAAAATTCAGGAATTATTAAACTCACCTTGCTTGTCTGTGGACATTACTTTTAAAATGAAATTTACAATCCTTGAGATGGTGTTAATGAACACTGTATAATCTCAAACTTATTAGTCTTTTAACCTATCTTCTTGTCAGCTTTAGTTAAATTTAATTTACCCTTTTAGAAACTGAATATCTGGGTTTTGTTTGTTTTTAATTATGGTCACTCAGTTGAAACTTTGGTAGAAAGTCTGCTGTTTAAATATTGTTTGACACTACTTTATTTTTTTAGGTTACATTTCGGACAAGAATTTATCACTGTAATATTAACAGTCAAGGAGTTATTTGCTTGGACATATTGAAAGATAATTGGAGTCCAGCACTAACCATTTCTAAAGTCCTCCTTTCCATCTGCTCACTTCTTACAGACTGTAATCCTGGTAAGGTTAATAATTGTTTACCTCAGTTCTTCCTCACCTGTTTTCTACATAAGCTAAGATATTCTAAAGATAGGTTTTATTTTTCTAAGAGCTTTCAAAGGACAAAAGCTAATTTGCTTTCCAAAGTAAGTTTTAATCAAGAGAAGTTCAATGTTCTAGGAATAGGGTGTTTTAAACTAAAGACTTACGTAAATTTGCCTTATGGTTTTTACATTTTCAGTCATCACTGCCCCCACCTCTGCCCCCATCCCCATTTGCACTATTTCCCGTACAGGTCTCCTAAACCAAACCATATACTTCTAAAAGTGGTATTTCTTTGCCGAATACTGAATTGTGATTTTGTTGGGACTCATTTCATTTTTTAAAAAATTTTTTTTCTAAATAAACTAAGTATGAATTTAGTTATTAAAGATTCTATTTTGTTTCTGAGAAACACTGTACTCCATTGGAATGGATCCAGATTCTGAGTGGGCAACCTGGCCCTTTCTAGGTAAAGTGTAGAGGTGAATAGTGTTACACTGCAGCAGCCCTGAGGACTTCACAGGATCCACAGTGCTGTAACTGGTGCCATTGAGCTAAAGGTCATATGAACACAGCTGGATGTTCAGTGTAGTCTGGAACCTTGAACATTCCAGTCCCTACTGAAGTTAGCCCAACACATAAGAGCAAAGAAGCCCCAATTGGGTGTTAGTTCAGTTCCATTTCTCTCCCAACAAAAAAGGAGATAAAGCCAAGACCAGTACTAAAGCCTGAGCATTCTATTTGGGTAGAATTGCATCCCTGCCCTCCACTGTGTTTTTTAAAGTTTAAAAGGGAAAATACCCAGAATGGCAGAGTAGTGTTTCAAAGATGGGTTTGATGACAAATACTTTGTTGTACATTTCTTCCCAAGCTGTCACTAATTTATTTGCTGAAGTTTAAAATGTTCTTTTTCTTTCTTCAAAGTAATCTACATTCTTTTCTTCCAGCCGACCCCTTGGTGGGAAGTATTGCCACTCAGTATATGACCAACAGAGCAGAACATGACAGAATGGCCAGACAGTGGACCAAGAGATACGCTACATAAATTGGGTCTTCACAGTTCTTACATTATTTGTCTGTCACAGAAGAGAGCTGCTTATGATTTTGAAGGGGTGGGGGAGGGTGGGAGTTGGTAAAGAGTAGGGTATTTCTATAACAGATATTATTCAGTCTTATTTCCTAAGATTTTGTTGTAACTTAAGGTATCTTGCTACAGTAGACAAAATTGGTAATAGCAACTTTTAAAACTGTCAATTAGTTCTGCAATATTAGCTGAAATGTAGTACAGAAAAGAATGTACATTTAGACATTTGGGTTCAGTTGCTTGTAGTCTGTAAATTCAAAACAGCTTAATTTTGTACAGGTTACACACATGGCCATTTATGTAAAGTCACACTAAGACTACATTTTTTTGTTTAAAAAAAATTGGAATTTGTTTTTCCTTCTTGGAAGGGAACATTGATATTTAACAGAGTTTTTAGAGACTGTCATCTCATATATATAAAATGGACACGTGGCTATAAGACCCGTATAGGAAATGAGTAGTTAATGTATTTTATTTTATATGCCAATCTACTTTATTGTGAAAAGATTAAAGGTTTGAATCAGGACTTGTGAAAATCTGTAGTGAAATACCTTAAGCTGTTAACTGTAAGGCGTGGAATAGGATTCGCTCAGTGGATTGGTTATATGTTGTGGACTGCTTAAGTCTGCATTTGTTACTGTGCTAATAAACAATATTAAAAACAACCACCTAACAGTGCTGTGTTCATTTACTTTGTTTGCCTTTTGGTTGCAGTGTGCAGATTTTTCAACTAAAATCGATGGATCTTTGTTTCTAAAATAACCTAAAAGTAATGCATATTTAATAAATAGGTATTTACCTATGTGAGGATTAGTACTTTAATTTATAAAACAGTTGATTTTTGAGATGTCTTAGAAAAGGTTAAATACTCTAACCCAGCTAGGTTTACTCTACTGGCATCTTTTTAAAAGCACATTCTAACATGCAGATATATGGAAACAAGTACATGAGAAATGGGTTCTGTCATGTAAATTGGTACAGCCTTAGAGGACAGTTTGGCGGTAGTGTCCAAGTATACACATCCCATAACCCAGCAATTCTATGTGTCTCCAGAGAAACTCACCTAGTTGCACACACATAAAAAGAATATGGTAACTCTGTGTACTAATAGATCTAAGTTGCAATTGGTAGGAAAAAAGCTAACTGCAGGGTGATGTTATTCATTTAAAAATAATTAAAATATCCATCTGTGTAAAATATAGGGAAGAAAACTAGAAGAACGATATTCAATAACTGGGAGAGAAGGCAGGAGGTGACTTAATATCTCAGTGATTATTTTTTGACCAAAAACTATTTGTGATAAGAAATTTTAAAGGATTATACAGTAGCAGCAATAGCTGATTTAAGTGTTATCTTTAATATGTAGTAGTTTTTGGTTTGAACTCACTGAACTGAGTCACCTGAGTTTAAAGGTATTCTATTTAAATTACTTGATGTTTTAACATTTCTTTGAATAGCTTACTTTCATGAATAGCTTGCTTCTTAATTTTTAAATTAGTTGTAATACTGTCAGCTTTCTAAATACAACTAGCTACATTGCTCAGATCTTGACCAAATCTTCAGAGAACCATAGCACAAACTCAGATATCCAACTTCAAGACAATCTGTAGCCAAGTATTTTTATGATACATTTTATTGCACATGACCAGGCATCTAGAAAACTATTTCAAAAGACATAGTACTCCTTCTGGAAAATGGAAGTTTTAAGTCCTTAAGTATTTGCCCATTTCTAAAAGAAGGAATAAACAGTTTGCCATTTAATATTTGGTTTATCAACAGGGGTCCAGTGGTGAAGGAGAAAAGGCCTTTGAGCATGATGAACCTACTTATACTACCCACTACCTTAAGTAATGGTAAATATAATTTGAGCAAAGCTAAATCATGGGTTTTGTTCTATTTAGCCAAATCTCCACAAGATAAAACTTAGCTTATTTAGTACCCAAATTATTGTTTTTGGTCATTTGGTCATACAAAAAAAAGTCTGGTTTTATAATTCCAGACATTAGATGACTAATGAACTTAAAAAAAGTTATGAGCTGGCCAGTTAGCTCAGTTGGTTAGCGCACAGTGTTACAAATACCAAGGTCAAGGGTTCAGATCCTCATACTGGCCAGCTGCCAAAAAAAAATTTAAAAGGTGTTTGAGTCAAGAAGTTTGCATAAAGTTACATAGAATGGGTACGATAGCTTCTGAAACAGGTTAGGGGATTATACATAGGTGTATTTGTTTTGTTCTGCCTATAACAATAGCTGAGACTGGGTGATTTATAAAGAACAGATTTCTTTCAGTTCTGGAAGCTGGGAAATCCAAGATCGAGGAGCCACTGGCATCTGGTATGGCCTCTGTGCTGTGTCATCTCATGGCTGAAGTCAACGTACGTGCACACAAGGGGGACCAAACTCACTTTTGTAACAGTCCTGCTCATCATAACTAACCACTCCCAAGATACATGAGGGCAGAGCCCTCATGATCTAATCAGCTCTTAAAGTTCCCACCTCACAGCACTGTTGCACTGGGCATTAAGTTTCCAACATGTGAACTTTGGGGGAGATCTCCAAACCACAGCATTCTGCCCCTAGCCCCCTATATTCATGTCTTCACAATGCAAAATACATATTCATCCCATCCCAATAGTTCCCAAAGTCTCAGCTTGTTCCAGCATCAACTCAAAAGCCTAGAATCTCACCCAATCAGATATGGATGATACAGCACAACTCATCTGGAAGCACATTCCTTTCAGCTGTGAGCCTGTGACATCAAAACAAGTTACATGCTCCCAAAACACAGTGGTAAGACAGGCATAGGATAGACATTCCCATTCTAAAAGGGAGAAATAGGCAAGAAGAAAGGGGTAACTGGTCCCGAGTAAGTCCAAAACCCTACAGGGAAAAGAAAATTAAAGCTTGAGAAAAATTTTTGATTCTATGTCCCACTTTCTGAACAGGGGCAGGGGTTGGGCCCCAAGTCCTTGGGCAACCCTGCCCCTATTGCTTTCCTGGGCTTAGCCCACACAGCAGCTCCCCCAGACTGGAGTTGCACTGGTAGCTCTACAGTTCTAAGGTCTTGGCAGCAGTCTCACTCCCAGTTCTACTAGGTATTGTCTTAGCTGGGGCTCTGCAGTGGCCCTGCCCATGACAAATTTCTGCCTGAGCTCCCAGGCTGTCCACGACATTCTTTGAAATCTAGGTGGAGGCCACCATGGTTCCACAGCTTTTCTATTCCACGTATCTGCAGAACCAGTACTACAAAACCACCACTAAAGTTTACAGCTTGTTCCTTCTGGAGCAGCAGATTGAGCAGCACCTGAGCTCACTTGAGCCACAGCTGGGTGGCTGAGGGGCACTGTGCCAGAATTCGGGGAGCAGAGTCCAGAGATCCCACAGGCCTTGAAACCTTGCATTCAAGGTCCTAACTTGCCTAGCTCACTTGAGCCACAGCTGGGTGGCTGAGGGGCACTGTGCCAGAATTCAGGGAGCAGAGTCCAGAGATCCCACAGGCCTTGAAACCTTGCATTCAAGGTCCTAACTTGCCTTAAAGATCTCTGAAATGCCTTTAGGGTCTTTCTCCCATTGTCTTGATGAACAGAACTTGGCTTTCTTTCTCTTCCTCCCCTTTCATTCATTCATTTATTCATTTATTATTTATTTATTTAGACTTCTCACTATACATTGTAGTTGATTTTTGTGTCCCTTTACCTGTTCTTTCCCCCTTTAGAACTTGGCTTCTTTCTATCCATATTAATCTCTTTAGCAAACTTGTTGCTTGACTATACCTTAGTATTATCTCCCAAACATGCTTATTCTTTACGTGACCAAGTTGAGTTTTCCAAATCTTTTCATTCTGCTTCCCTTTTAAAATTATAAATTCTCTAAATCTTTTCCCTCTCATTTTACTGTAAGTGGTCAAAAGAAGTCATGCAGCACCTTGAAAGCTTTGCTGCATAGATAGTTCTTCTGCAAAATATCTAGTTTATTACTCTTGACTTCTGCCTTCCATGAAGTTCTAGGACATGGGTGCAATTCCACCAACTTCTTTCCAACTGTATAACAAAGATGGCATTAATACCCTAGTCTCTAATATCTTGTTCTTCATTTCCATGAGACTATACCAGAATGGCCTTTACTGTCCATACTTCTACCAACAGTCTGCTCACTACTACTTATGTAATCCCAAAGAAGTTTTAGGCTCTCCCTACAGTTCTTGCCATCTTCTGAGCCATCACCAGTATCACCCTTAAAGCTGCATTCACAGCAATATAGGCTTTTTTTTAGCCTACTCCTCCAAATTCTTCCAGTCTCTGCCCATTACACGGTTCCAAACCTGCTTTCACATTTTTAGGTATGTGTTATAATAATGACCCCACTCCTGGTACTAATTTTCTGTCTTAGTCCGTTTTGTGCTGCTACGACAGAATGTTTGAGACTGGGTAATTTATAAAGAACAAATTTGTGTCTTACAGTTCTGGAGGCTGGGAAGTCCAAGACTGAGGGGCCACTGGCATCTGGTGGGGGCCTTCATGCTGTGTCATCATCTCATGGCAAAAGGTAAAAGGCAAAAGAGCTCGTGTGCAAGAGGGGGCCAAACTCGCTTTTATAACAAACTCACTTTTATGACAAACCCACTCTCAAAATAACCCAGTCCCCCAATGAGATTTATCCATTCATGAGGGTAGAGCCCTTATGACCTCTTAACAGGCCCCACCTCCCAACACTGTTGCATTGGGGATTAAATTCCTAACACACAAATTTTGGAGGACACATTCAAACCAGAGCACTATCCAAGCTTTATTTTACTGTTTTGACAAGTGCAACATAAATAACAGAGGTGCTAATTTCAGGGACAGGCTTCAAACAATGAGAATAAGAATATATTATTTCATATCAGGCAATAATAAACTTAGCCCAACTGAATAATTTAATTATAACCTAAAGTGCATTGAATTACTACCTTGAGGGTTTCCTAAGGAACAAAGATATATACAAATGGCCTATTTTAAATACTAATCTTACCCCATGTTCACAGACACTTTAAAGGCCATCCCCATTCAACAAACAATTGTGGAATTACTGATTTTTAGTTCTCGGAGCTAGAGTTCCCTTTGTTTTTCCTCCCAGGCAAAGGAAAGCCTGATTTGCTCTGGGGTTGGGAAAGTTTACTGGCTAATAAAGTGAATGGTTCAATCAGAGTTTTCCGATCTGTAACAGTTACTTCCCACAGTCTCACTTTCTCACTTTTTGCCCACTGCTGTGCCACTTCAGCATCCACTTGCCTCTGCTCAGAAAGGTCGATCTTGTTTCCTAATACAACAATTGCTACCTGAAAGAAAATGGATTAAAAATGTCATACTAGGAATTTGCCAACATCAGTTCCTAGGCAAAATGAAGAAATATGGAAAACTGTTCCATTTAACAAACTGCTTTATTAAACTGATTCTCAGATGTGACTGGAATGATAATAGGACATCACCTCCCTCTTCCTTAATGCTTTTTTGCTAAAAATGCAGATGTTCTACAGGTTGCTCACTATAAAAATTTTTAACAGTGAAGTTACTCTTAGGTATAACTGAAAGATAGATTTGGAAAATTAATATTTAGGATACAGATAATGGGTTCAATGTTTAGTTTGGGAGATTTGGGAGATTTCCAATACAGTACTTCAAAATAAAACATGACAACTGGAGCTGTGAGAATTCTGTACCCCTAGAACCTAAGTTCCACAAGAATAGGAATGTTTGTTTTGTTCATGTTATTCCCAATCCTAGAAAAGTACCTGCTAAATATCTGTTGACTGTATGAGCCAACTGAAACATTTTATACTAAATACAAGTTAATCATTCGTTTAAACTTGAATGCAAACAGCAAGCACTGTTTGAGTTGACCAGAACACAGCAGTCACAACAAAGCCCAGGAGGAGGGGGAAAAATGTTTAGATAGTGATTCTAAAGAAGACCAAACAGGATGATGGAACAACGGAGGAAGGACAGCGAGAACTGTTAGAGAAGGCACCTCTGAGGAGCAGCACTGAACTAGTAAGACTTCTGAACCATCTCTATGTACCTTCCTGCTTCTAAGTAGACAGAGCTCCCTATGCTCCAGGTAAGGCCAGGCCTTCCAGGCAGGATGGAGGAGTGGAGCCCAGAGCTCTGGTTTCCTTGGTAAATCTTGTCCTCCATCTCAAAACAGGAGCTATCCCCCTTTGAGCCCTCCTGTCATTCATCACCCAAATTTTCATCTTTGTGTACATCCCCCTAGTCTTACCTCCATCTCCTTCTCCTCTCCAACTGCAGAAATTCTTCCATTTTGCCCCCTAGAATTCAGCAAGACCCCACCCTGCCACGCCCCCACCCTCTGCTTTGAACATTCCCTTTACCTTCTTGCCTAGCTGGAGCCTGGCTCAGCCCCCCAAACCTGCGGTCAGTCCCCTCCTACCACTATTACTGGGAAGGAGGGTTGGGCGTGTTAAGGTGTCCTCTTTGTCCTTCAATGCTGCCTCCAACAATGTCCTTCCCTAAAAACCCCTGCGAAAGGCTGGTGCTATTAGTGCACTGTACCTACTAACCATCCCCTGTTGCTGCTCATCACAGCTGTAGCTCATGGTAACCCTCCTCCCCCACCATGGTCATAATTCCTGGTAATTTCACTAGCCATGTGGATGATGCTTCCAGTCACTGGGTTTCTCAGTGCTTTGACTTCTCAATGATCTTACCCTCCTTACCTTGGCCATTCACTCCCATGGTCACATCGTAGACCTAAGCATTATAACTGCTCCCCTCTGTGATCTCAATTCCAAGCACACCACTCTGACCTCTACCTTCCAAACCAGGCCTAACATACCAACTGCAACATTTCTAAATACAAGGACACACAATCCATCAGCTCTCCTACCTTTATCACTGCCCTTCCACCCCACTCATGTCCACGGTTCCTTCTCACCTAGCTTACATTCTTTTTATTCACTCCCTTGCCCCCGTTATTCCATTATTCACCTGGCAAAAGCCTTCCCTTGTTAAATTTAACTCCTAACCAGATTCTGTGCCTATACCACTTAGCTGAGTCTGGCTGGAGAAAAACAACCCTGCTGGCTTGTCCCAATTCATAACCACTGACCTCAAATGAACTAGTGTTCTTCAGCAAATATATTACACTTTCTCCATTTACTCTGTAATGAGACAACATCTCATACCTCGGCCATCTTCTCCAAGCTGCAACATCTCCTCTTCCTTCCCCACCTTCCTCTCAGCTGAGCTGATGACCGTACTATTTCAGTAAAAAGACTAGCGACTTCCACATGCTTCTACCACCACATCTAACAAGCTAAGCCATCTTCTCCAAGCTGCAACATCTCCTCTTCCTTCCCCACCTTCCTCTCAGCTGAGCTGATGACCATACTATTTCAGTAAAAAGACTAGCGACTTCCACATGCTTCTACCACCACATCTAACAAGCTACCATCTTCCAAGGCCATTTTACTCTGCTCTAGAAACCATCCTCTCATAGTTGGACAAGGATATCACTCCAGCAATTATTCCCCCTCATCAATTTTCTACTCTCTGTTGAATGACTGCCATTAGCATACAAACAATGTTATCTCTCATTTAAATAAAACAAACCTCCAGCCAGCCACTAAAAAGTAAATAAACAAAACCTTTTTATACCACATCCTTCTCCAGTCCTTGAGAAGGACTTAATAGAACAAAATTACATCGGGAAAAAAAAAAAAGTAGAGTAGTGTCACTAGAGTACAGTGAGAGAGGAGCAGAATGATAAAGATAAGATGAAAAGGATCAGCAGGGGCCAAGTCATCGTGTGTCTTTATAGACCATAGTAAGGCACGTGGATCTTATTTGTACGTGGTAAATGGGTAAAATCCAGTAATTACTCAGGGTTTTTTTTTTCTTTCTTTCTTTTTTGTAAGGCTAAAGACAAGAATCCTATTTAACCAAGAAGACAATAAAAAGACAAATTAAACAGTGATCCCAAACAAATGAAACAAACTATGTAGTACTTGAGATATGGAGTCATTAAAGTCCAACTTGTACTTGGTAACAAGCAAAAGGCAAAGAGGCAAATGCTGGTTCTGATTGAAGTCAATCAGTCCTACATTTCCTTGGCTAAGAAAAAAGATTATGAAGGTTACAGATACTGAGAACACAATACAATGGTTTCTAAATATTTAAACTACCCAAAGGTCCATGCTACTGTTTAAATAGTATTATAATTCACATTTGACATTTTTAACATACCCATTTACCTCTTTTTTGTCTTTGAACTTATCGATTTCTTTCTTCAGTAGTTCCACTCTTTGAAAGGATTCAAGGTTATTCACACTGTACACGAGAACAAAGCCATCAGCAAATGAAAAATAATGCTTTGGCAGCTCCACGCCTTCCTGTAGGCCTCTGGTGTCATAAAGATGGAGTTGTTCCTTTACTCCCCGATCCGTTTCCACCGAAGCCATGTATACATCTTCCATTGTTTCACAATCTTCTGTTCCTGTGATTAAGAAGAAATTACTCTTGGATAAGCCAGTATTGATTGCTCAGTATTTTCTTGCCCTTTAGAAGTTGGCTTTCTAGGTTCCCTATTTACCACATATAATAATCACATTTCTATTTTACTAATTTCTTTAAAATGAAAAGTAGTTGTTATAGTAAATGAACAAAGTGCTTTTAAAAAATATTTCCTCTGTATAAAAATAAAAGTAGTAATAAAAATTTGGCAATGAGATTTACTATTAAACTATATTTTTAAGGGGCCGGCCCGTGGGTCGCTTGGGAGAGTGTGGTGCTGATAACAACAAGGCCACAGGTTCGGATCCCATATAGGGATGGCCGGTTAGCTCACTTGGGAGAGTGTGGTGCTGACACCAAGTCAAGGGTTAAGATCCCCTTACCGGTCATCTTAAACAAAACAAAACAAAACTATATTTTTATAGTTTAAAAAAGTAACTATTACAAGAGTCAAAGAACTTAATACCTACCAGCCATCTGCCAAAAAACCAAAAACCAAACAAACAAAAGAATTTAATACCTAAATTGGAGAACTAAAGGCTAATTTAAAAAGTAGCTTCAACAACTAAATAGTCCCCTTCTCTTCTCCATCTGAACCAAGGCAGGACCTGGGGGAAATTTGCTGCTTTTTTCTGTAGAACTTCTACTATTTCCAGAGTCTGTTTAAGGAACTTATAAATTCACATGTCCTGTCTGGGCCTGACCACCAGGCCTCTAATTTCCAAGCATCTACTGGGCACTTCTATATGAATGTCCCGCAAACACTTCAAATTAAAAACTTGTCTTCCCTCCCCACACCTGTCCCTCATCCTTACTTTCTCTCCTCGATCACCATCCACCTGGGCAGTCTTCAGAGTTCTTGTTGAACAAGAGAAGTGTGGGAGAAAATTACCACAAACCAGCCACTCTAGTGCTGAAACATCTGCTCAGCCCTCTGCCTCCTTTTATTCCCATGGGCTTGTTATCTTCACCTAAACTCCCACTACAGCTCGGTAACCACCTGGTAAACACCTCTTATCCTTTGGAGACTACTGAAATGTCTCTCATGATTATCCCCTTTCCCCCTTTCTGCTCCTGCTGTGCCTTGTACAGGTAATACCATTTTATACTTCAAACTTCCCATATCCCCTCCACCTACAGTGTAAATTCCTTTAGTCAGGACTGTGGTTAATGTATCTTTGTAGAACTGAGGACTAACAAATGGACTTAAATACAAAAAAAGTATGTCCCAATTTCAGTCCCCTTCTTGCCAGTGATGTTTTAAAAATGCATTTTACCACTCTGCTCCATTTGTGCAAGTATGTCTCCTCAAGTAGTCTATAAGTTCCTTCAGGGAAAGAAACCATTCTGTGTACACAGCAAATACAAGTAATCAATAATCCTTTGTTGATAAAGGAATTAGGGGGAGAAGATTAACGCTTGGAATTTTACTTAGTAGAGAGGCACATAAGATAGGTATGGTACAGTCCCAGTAACCATCTTCATATATAAATGTGTGCTATATCTAGAGGTAAAATCATACGGATAACATCCTATATTTAAAAAAAAAAATCATAAAACAAAATAAATTTTTAAAAATATTATGGTTATAGTTTTTGAAAACTCTGGTTATAGATTTCCTAAACAACCTACATACTGTAGAATGATTTGTTCCAGATGCCTTAACATGAAATGTCCGTAAGTATTAAGTTAAATAAAATCTCCATAAGCATTAGATTAAAAAGAACAATCATGTAATGATATATTGGGTCATGAGAAACAAAAATTTCCTTTTTTTTTTTTTTTGGCAGCCAGTACAGCAATCTGAACCCTTGACCTTTGTGTTTTCAGCACCATTTACTTTGATGAGCATAAATATTTACTTTCATGAGCATAAATAACTGAGCGAAAATTTACTTTCATGAGCATAAATAACTTTACACTAAGGAATGTGTTTGATGGTTAGTAAGGGAAAATTATTCCTAACTTTAATTAAGTGTGTGTGTGTGTGTGTGTGTGTGTGTGATCCTGTCATAAATTAAGCTTTAAGGAAATTAAGTTATTCTATTAAGACACAAACTTATTGGGTTTTCATGACAAAGAAATTTGAAAGCAAAAACTACCAAGACTTTTTTGTCATGTGATGTTTTATTTACCAAAAGCCAGTCACCTCCCCTTTATTAAGCTTAGGCTTTTTGATACTGTGTTACACTCTATAAATCAACTGAAGTCATGACTCTTCCATTAGCTCTCTACATCCCCTCTCACGCTCTGCTGCTGGGCAATCTCCCCCTCTCCCACACCAGCAGAAAAGGGAGCCATCTCTGGGAAGGGTAAAACAGAGGATGTATTCACTGTGCAACAGAGGGCATGAGTTCTATAGTGTAAAACGGGGCAATTAAGTGACATGCCTGTGTGCACACATGTACACACACCGAATGTTGAACTCAAGCTCTCTTCCCCTTCTCTGCTCCCAAAACTGTGGCAGCAGGGCCATTATCCTCACATAGAGGAATATGGCCAGTGGAAAAGAAAAAATCCTAAATATACTGAGGTCTGGGGTTCCCCAACAAATGCCCCAATCACCTCACTGAAGCTCAAAGTCAAGAACATTATCCACATACTCAGAGTTTCCAATTAAGCTTTTCTTAATTATGAGCTGGTAACCAAGGTTTACCAGACACCTGAGGAAAACAGAGACCAAAAATCAGAAAAGAGCACTCAATGGAAACAGACTATGTAAAGAAAAGAAAAACAAAACAACTATCTAATATATCAAAGATATAAGATAGTATATCCACAAAATAAGAACAGAATGCTAAGAAATAAAACCTCAATAAAAGGGCTCAAAAAATAAAGATGAAGAAATCTCCCAAAAAGTGGAGCAAAAATATTGATGGAAAACTGGGGAGGAGAAATAAGAAAATTAGAGGACCATTTCAAAATGGCCAGAATCCAAAAGAGAGTTCCAGAAAGAGAAAACATAGAACGAGAGGAGGGAAAGCATCAACAAAATAATTCAGAACTGAAGAACATGCATTTCCATATTGCAAGGGCCTACTGAGTGTCCAGTACAACAAATGAAAATAGACCACATTTCTATGACACATCACTGTGAAATTTCAGAACACTGGTGTCTTAGTTCATTTGTGCTGCTATAACAAAATACACTGGATAATCTATAAACAAAAGAAATTTATTTCTCACAGTTCTGGAGGCTGAGAAGTCCAAGACCAAGGCACCAGCAGGTTTGGTGTCTGGTGAGAGGCCAGTCTCTGCTTCCAAGATGATGCCTTACTGTTGCACGCTCAGCAGGGGTCAAACACTATGTCCTCACATGGCAGAAGACACGGAAGGGAAAGACAGAGCTCCTTTCAACCACAAGCTCTGTTATAATTCCATGCATGAGGACAGAACCCTCAAGACTTAAAGGCAACACCTCTTAACACTATTGCATTGGGGATTAAGTTTCAAAATGAATTTTGGAGGGGTCACCATCATTAAACCACAGCAACCGGGGCAAAGAAGAGAGCCCATAAAAGCTTCCATTTACAAAATATCAAGAATCATAATGGCTCCCAGATTCTCAAAAGCAGCACTAGAAGGAAGAAGACAAAAGAATCTGGTAAAGTTGAAGATACACACCCCCTATGAATCAGCAATTTCACTTTCTAGATATATACCCCAGAATTTGCCACATAATAGACAGGAAACATGTACAAGATTGGTCATAGTAGCATTATTTCTAATACCCCCAAACTGGAAACAACCCAAATGTTTATCAAGATAGAAGAGATAAATAAATTGGGGTAGTTTCATACCACAGACTACTACAGGGCAATGAAAATTAACAAACCATAGCCACTACAACAAAATGGGTGAATCTTACAAATAAAAGGTTGAGTGAAAGAAGCCAGACACTGAAGAATTTATACAGTGTGATTCCATTCATATAAAGTGGATGTAAGGCAAAAGTAAACCATACCTTTTAGTGAAAAAACCATAAAGAGAAGAAGGGAATGATTAACCAAAACTCAAGGGAAGGGAAGGACTGAGTTGTGACCAGAGAGAGGAACATGGAGAGGCACTGGAGTGCCTTCAATGTTCTACTTTGTGACCGCATGGAGATTACATGAAGGTTTATCTTATAATTATTCAATTAAACCATACATGTACTTTATATGCTTCTCCATATATATGGTGCATTTTATAATAAAATAAGGAGAAAAGATGAGTTCTATACCCAACAAAATTATAATTCATGTGAGTGTAAAATAAAGACATTTTCAAACACACAAAGCATCAAAAAATGTATCATGTACATTTTCTCAGGAAACTATGTGAGGAGACCCTCCATCAAAATTAGCATGTAATCACAGAAAGAGGAAGACATGAAATCCAGAAAACAGAACTAACACAGGAATGAAGTAAAGGGAATCACAAGGACAAGAGTAAATATTTCTATTCAGAAGTCCGAGGATCACTACTTTGCCTAAAGCATAGAGGGCACTTTGAGGGCTGTCATTATCCACCTGATACCCCATTCCACTGTACAACTTTTCAATCCCAGAAAAGTAGTGTACTGGAAGATGTGCTCCATTAATATAATCATATAAACCGAAAGAGGAAAACAAGAGATCCAGGAAACAGGAAATCAAAACCAGGAAGAAAGGTAAAGGGAAATTCCATGGTGATAGCAGGGCAACGGGCCTAGATAAAAGAACAGATATCTCCTGGAAGGATATAGCCAAAAAAAAAAAAATTACTGATGAAGTTGACCTCACAGAAAATTGAGAAACATGTGGACAATGTGGAAAGAATTAGCAAAAGGTATACACAAAACTAGAGAAATGACAGATAAAGCAAATATTAGCCTCCATAAAAACAAAAAGTAAGGGGCCGGCCCGGTGGCGCACTGGATAGTGCGCCGCTTGGGAAGGCGGCGGCGCTCCCGCTGAGGGTTAGGATCCCATGTGGAGACCGGTTCCCGCTCACTGGCTGAGC